AGCTGTGAAGGATAAGATGTTGCACCCAAAGGAAAAGTTAAGAAAAGAATAAGAAACATCGTAAATGATCTGTCTCATAGGATGATACCAACTAACCTATTTAAGCCCTTTTAACAGAAAGCTTATTAACTCTGCTAGCCCTTAACTGGATTCGACTGAAATTTCTCTCTTAAGGTGGTCGTGCAGATCGCTTCAAGACACTGACCATAAAACTGTACTCCGGTTGAACACCTAATGCAACGAGGTGACCGTCTAACAGTGGTGAATTACAAAAAAATATCCAATTGGAAAGTCCAAAAGGTAACTACGTCCGCTTAACAGAGGTGACCGCTTAATGGAGGTCAAATATATAGTGAATATGTGAATTTGAATGGTGACCTTTTAAAAGAGGGTGACCGCTTAACAGATGGCCGCTTAATAGAGGTGATCGCTCAACGGAGGTCAACTATATAGTGAATATATGAATTTGAATGGTGACCTCTTCAAATTAAAGAGGGTGACCGCTTAACAGGGTTTGACTGTAATTTGATTTAAGACCTGTTGCGCTAATTTAATTTCGGTAGTTTAAGGAAGGAAGTTTATTGGAGAGGGGCACTAATTTGGGACGGGCCCTTTTTTTTGGACCGTGGTACAATATTTGAATGAAAAACAACAGATACTGCGACTGCAGAACCGTAACAATAGGCACTCTGAGAGTCAATGTTCAATATTACGTTCAGATGAGAAAGCAGACTTCATAATTTGTTCCTCGAATCCGTCTATTCTATGTCAATGTCTTAAACTTCATATTCGTGACGAGGGGCGCTTATTGGAAGAGGTTGCTTATTGAAAATAATAATAATAATAATAATAATAATAATAATAATAATAATAATAATAACAATAAAAACAGTGCTCAATGGATAGGGTAAGGAATGCGTCATGGAAAGAGAGCACTAAATCGAATCATTACGGTCCCAAAAATAGCTTTAACGTTGTTTAACGTTTTTTTGTCGATTTTTTTAATGGACCATGGTAGCTGGATCTCTTAGG